ACCACGGTCAAGAACAAAAGCGCCTTCATCTGAAACATGTAACTGAATATATTTTCTCATACAGTGTTCAGCTCAGTGACGCATAAATCTGTTAAGATAAATAAATAAATGGAATTATAATTTGTTCTCAACGTTCCTAACAAAGATCATAGAAAAATAACACTTCTCTTCCCCAACCTTAACATTTCATATTCCTAACTTCCTCACTTTTACTAACAAACTAAACCATCAATACGTTGATAAACGAGTTATCCCAAGTCTTCGAAAACAGTAATGGCAGTAAAGTGGTCCATCTCATGCTTGTCCCTAACTAAAATACAAGTTTTACGATCATCATTTGATAAGCAGAGTATACGTTTCTGAATTAAATAATGAAATAACACTCAGTCAGTCAAGTCGAATTACAAGTGGCATAGCTCAGTGATATAGGTTTAGCAATCGCAGGGTCCTTGGTTCTCTCCCGCCCGCTCCTCTAAGTCGATACAAGCGAGAGTACTGGTATGCTAATACGAGCATGGTGGGGTCAAAGTCAAGGCAACAAAAAAGTTTATTTTGACCGTGCGAGACGACTAATATTTTCTAAGCATTGCCGCTACCAAGCATTATCAAGGGTTTGAGGTTGTCTCGATCTAATGCCCATTCCTTGTTAATGGTAAATGGACCAACGTACTTATTTTACTTTTAAAAGAAACACAAACTTTAACGGATAGGATGCAGAACATGAAATAAGCCAAGGAACGTACGATAGGTAGCTAAATTCACAGCTTTATCACCTATCAAAAGACATTTTAAATCATTTACACAATAGATGATCATTAGCAAAAAAAAAATTGTTTCCTAAAATGTATGAAATGTATGAAAAAATTTAATTAATATTCTAAATGACTGAAGACTTAATCTGCAAAGTCCAGAGCCGTTGTTATTGTTCTTAATTTATTTGTTTTACTGTTCTTTAAAAATCTATGCAAACATTTTTCAAATCTAATTCTGGTATCTACCCCATTTTGCCACATTGTACACAATAGAATCACTGCTTTCAAGTGTTCATAATTTTAACAAAGCACATGTGTTCACTGAATTGCCCGGAACTTATAAACGAATATTCAGTTATTCAAAGAGCACGTCCCTCTTCATCTAAAAATGAAGACAAGTTGTTTCATATTGTTTAGTATCTTTCCGCCTAAAAAGAAAATGTTCTGGCTATTCTCACCGTGCTAAATATCGGAGAGATATCGGACATACAGGACTAGGACTCTCTGTTTATATACGACAGAGGTAATGAATCTCCCAAGGTTCTGCGGTTGTATTTTTTTCTTTTATAGTAATTTTCATTCCTTCACGATGGCGAAGCGACCACTTTTTGAGGCACGCAAAATAGGATGTCCTCAGTAAAACAAATATATGAATAACAATAAAATGCTTATTACATTCATCGTTCCTATTAATAAATTTTTAATCTGCTGATTTTCACAGTATGAAAATGCTAACCTTTTTATTACCTGCTATAATAATTATTCATAAAAGGACATCGTCAATTACATTTTCTTTAGTGGCAGATTCTAAAACTATATGGATACCTCCTCTCTGTCCCTGTTTATCTGTCTATAAAACACACTCCCTCCTCTCTCTCTCTCTCTCTCTCTCTCTCTCTCTCTCTCTCTCTCTCTCTCTCTCTCTCTCTCTCTCCTCTCTCTCTCTCTCTCTCTCTCTCTCTCTCTCTCTTCTCTCTCATCTTCTTCTCTTTCTCTT